GAGGTCAGTGGGAAAGAGAGAGAGAGAGAGAGAGAGAGATGTACTACTATTTGTAATACCTTAAACAATAAAATTAAAAAAAAAAACTTCCCATGTTTGCAGAGCAAAATAGGCTTTCAGCTTCATGAAGCCCAATGGACCCAATGGGTAGAATCTGAAAAGGACTACACAGATACACTTTATAATTAAAGTGCCAAAAAGCAAAGCCAAAGAGAGAATTTTAAAAGCAGCAAGAAAAAGGTGACTTATCACATGCAAGAAAGTCCCCATAAGACTATCAGTGACATCTGAATGGAAGCTGCTCCTGCTGAGGCTTCTGAAGCCCCTCTCTTTGCTATGCCCTTTGTTGCATGTCCCTCCTATGTCACTGTCTCTCCTGACTTCCAGGGTTCCAGGCCCTATAGCTCCAGCTACTTCCCTGTTTTTGGTGTCTATATACAAACAAGGGGATTCCTGTGGGCTGCTCTTCCCCTGGCCTCCAGGTCCTGACTAACTGTTTTTGTCTTCCATTCCTGCTGCCACATATGATGATGGCTGAAAATCACTGTGGGGCTGCAGGAGGAGGGAGACAGTGTCTGAAAACACTCAGAAAATTACTTTCAGTTCTCTTTTCCCCATTTGGGTGGAGCCTTCCCAGGGTGAGTTCACTCACTTCCTGCTCAGGGCTTTGCAGCCACAGTGAGCCTAGGCTGGGGAGACTGGAAGGATCAGAGGTCCAGGCAGGGCCCACGGCAGGACAATGGCCAGTGGCGGCAGCGACCTCAGCACCAGGTCAGTCTCTGTCTCCCTTCCTTCAATTTTCTCTCTGGCTGTGCTGATGCTTTAGTGTGTATCATTAAACACTCGTCTAAACCTTCACCTCAGTCCTGCTCTACAAGGACACTTATGTGGAATGTAATGAAATACAGGAATACAAGTGGGAAAATTGGATCTTTAAACTGCAGAGGGACAGCTGCTGGTGTGAGTGTAGCTTTCACAACCCAGAGGACTCATCTTACAGCTACTGCTCAACTGGCAGCCCATGAGGACTCAGCTGTCCTTTCTGATGCTTTGAGACAGCGATTTATTTTCTCATGACCTATGAACCTTCTGTTTTCCCTCGGAGCTCCTCTGACTTCACCTTGGTCATTTCAATGAGGAAACTTCAGAAAATACAAAATTCAGGGTGGCCCTGGCAGGTGTGGCTCAGTGCATAGAGCATCAGCCTGCAGAATGAAGGGTCCTGGGTTTGATTCCGGTCAAAGGCATATATCTCTGTTGGGTTGATTTTCTCATGACCTATGAACCTTCTGTTTTCCCTCGGAGCTCCTCTGACTTCACCTTGGTCATTTCAATGAGGAAACTTCAGAAAATACAAAATTCAGGGTGGCCCTGGCAGGTGTGGCTCAGTGCATAGAGCATCCGCCTGCAGAATGAAGGGTCCTGGGTTTGATTACGGTCAAAGGCATATATCTCTGTTGGGTTACAGGCTTCTCGCAGCCTGGGCCCTGGTCAAGACATGTGCAGGAGGCAATTAATTGATGTATTTCTCTAAAATTGATATTTCTCTCTGTCTTTCCCTCTCTCTTACCCCCTCACTAAAAATCAATGGAAAAATGTCCTTGGGTAAGGATATATAACAAAAACAAAATTCAGGGTTAAAGCATGAAATTTTCAAATCTGGGTGCCTTGATCTTGTACCTGACCTGGGGACAGGTCAGCTCCAGGCTTATTCCCGTCTGTGGCTGAGGGTCTGGGATCTTCCTCCAGGGATCTTGATTGAAGGGAGTAAAAGGAAGAGGAAGGACCAAGAAACGAAAGACTAGTGCAGGCTGAGTATTTTCATCTGTACTTTGAGTTTCTGCTCTGGAATGCATTACACCTCTGACAAGGAAAAGGCCAGAAATACTTTTTCTCTAATAATGGGTCAGAAATAACATTACTTAATATGTTTAATTTTTTAATACAAAAGAATTACATTTTACCTCTTGTTCATAAAGTTTCAAATCACATGCAAATGTGTAGAGGGGAAAATCCCCTTCACGTGCCACCCACCTGAAGCTCTCAGTCCAGGTCCTATTGAGTGTTGTGGGCACATATCTCTTTCTCTGCATTTACACATATAACTGATTTTCCTAAATAATTCGTGTCTTGTTTTAAAACAAATGGGATTTTATTGCATTTTCAGTTATTTTAGTATTGAAAATATTAGAGACCTTTTCACTTTAATAAACATACTGATCTCCCTCATTCTTTTTTTAATATATTTTTATTGATATCATAGAGGAAGGGAGAGGGAGAGAGAGATAGAAACATCAATGATGACAGAAAATCAATGATCGGCTGCCTCATGCTGACCTACACTGGGGATTGAGACTACAACCCGGGCATGTGCCCTGACTGGCAATTGAACCATGACCTCCTGGTTCATAGGTCAACACTTAACCACTGAGCTATGCTGGCCAGGCTCCCTCATTCTTTTTTTGTAGCTGTATACTACTCCATGGAATCAATAATCCATAATTTTTAAACCATTCTCTTCCATTGACAGACACTTAGGTAATTTCAATAAGCTATGATAACAGCAAACTTATGTATATCTTTTATGCAGATTTACATAAGTTTGTCTGGTGTCAATAACCAAAAAATCAAATTGTTGAGGCAAAGAGTATAAATACTTTCTTGTTTATAGATTCTGCTAAGTTGCCTTCTAAGTAACAGAGATTCATTTAGTTAATTTGCATTTTCTGATTACATGGGAGGAGGAACTGTGTTTTGTGGTTATTGACCATTTAAATTGCCTCTTAGGTGAGTTGCGGCATTTTTTCTTGCCAATTTTATCAGTTGAGATTGTCCTTTATTTGATAAGGGAGAATTTGCTAAATATTCTGAAAGTTGCAAGTTTCCTTTTCTTTTACTTTGTTTTTGGTGACTTCTATTTTATTAAAGATTAAAATTTAAATTACAGAATTATTATAATACTAGAGGCCCGGTGCACAGATTCATGCACTGGTGGGGTCCCTAGGCCTGGCCTGCGAGATTGGGCTGAAACCGGCAGTCCGACATCCCCCAAGGAGTCCCGGATTGCGAGAGGGTGCAGGCCATTGAAGATACTGGGGCCCGCTACTTTTGTTCTAAGTTATAAATTACTTATTCAGGGTTTTTTTTTAAATGGATAGAAGCCTATTCAAATTATCTATTTCTCCTTGTGTGAGTTTGGGTACTTTGTGTATTTCAATGATTTGGCCTATATTAATTGTTATCAAGTTGGTGGAGATAGATTTGTTCATAGATTGCAATATCCTTTTAATATCATGGGATTAGTTGTGATGATCCTACTTTCACTTCTAATATTGGTAATTTGTGTCTTTTCTCTTTTATTTATTAGCCTGTGTAAAATATATCAATTTTATTTATCTTTTCCAAGAACCAGTTTTAGTTTTGTGTGTTTTTCTCTGTTGTTTTTCTAGTTCCATTTCACTTATTTCTTCTTCTTTTTTCTTATGTAGTGTGCTGTTTGCTTTTTTTTAAATAACAAAAACAAATTAAGAAAGCAATCAAAATGTGTTCATTCTTACACAAATGATTCTGGCTGGTGCGTACTTTTTATGCTAATTTATCAAATCAAGTTTTGGTTCTCTATCTGTGGTTAAATATACATCCCTAAGCAAGTAGAAATGTTAAAATAAGGATTACATCTTGGTGTTTATTTGAAATCAGAATTTTTCCATTCTGAATAGTTTCAGTAAGTGTATGTTATAATAGAATGTCTCTTTATCTACTTTAACTTGGTCTATGTTAAATTGATAAAATACAACCTTAGTCCTGCTTAAGAGTACATCTTTCATTATACAAGTTAGTAAATAGGATATATCAACAAAAATGTCCAACAATGTAATTAAATCATTGCTACTGGAAATACTTTATACATGAATAATTTAACTATACTGTTGAAGCCTTGCATTTCAGTATATTGTACAACTTCTGTATCATCACCTGAAATTTACAGGCAAGCATTGAAGATACCTTAGCTGTTACAATAATGTTTATCCCCAAGTTTGATAAGCTACCTCTGAATAAGCCACATGTAAATGCTAAATACTTAGATGCACGTTCTAAGTACTGTTTTCCTGCAGACATCTGAGTTAGCAGACGGAATTTATTCTTCTGAAGTACATAGATGCCCTGATGATTTGTCCTGAGACTGATGATTTGTTTCTTAAATACTGTAGTCCAAGAAATTTTTCCAAATGAAGTTCATGACATCTAACTCATACTTGAACCTCACGGTATCTTTTGTAAACCTTTGTTCCTTGTCCCACTCGAAACCCCATGTTTTCCAGCTTAGTAATACAGCGTGAATTTTCCACCTTCCCCTGCTCTGCAGACTAGTACACTCCTGACACTATCTCTTTATGGAGAAGCAAAACAACACCTCCACCAAATCTCTTTTTTAAATTTCTTTATTGATTAAGGTATTACATATGTTTCCCTAAATCTGGCTTATTCTATTTTTTATTATTAAATTGGTTGGAGTGACAGTGGTTAACAATAACATATAGATTTCATGTGTGGATTTCTGTTACAAAATCTGTATATTGCACCATGCCACCACCACCAAAAGTCAAATCTTCTCCTGTCACCTCATGTTAGGACCCCTTTTTCTCCCTACCCCCTTCCCTCTGGCAATCACCACATTGCAGTTTATGTTCATAAGTTTCAGTTTTATAACCCACATATGAGTGAAATCAGGTGGTTTTTAGCTTTTTTTTCTGACTTATTTCATTTGGCATAATGTTCTCAAGGTCCATCCATGTTGTCGCAAATGGCACTATTTCATTCTTTCTTATGGCTGAGTAGTATTCCATTGTGTATATGTACCATATCTTCTTTATCCAGTCCTATGTCATAGGACATTTTGGTTGTTTCCATGTCTTAGCCACTGTGAATAATGCTGCAATGGACATAGGGGTGCATATATCTTTGCAAATAAATGATTACAAGTTTTTTTGGGTATATACCCAGGAGTGGGGTTGGTAGGTCATATGGTAGCTCTGTTCTTACATTTTTGAGGAATCGCCAGACTTTCCATAGCAGTTGTAGCAGTCTACATTCCCACCTGCAGTGAATGAGGGTTCCCTTTTTTCCACAACCTCTCCAATACTTGTTATTGCTTCTCTTATTGGTAATGGCCATTCTAACATGTGTAAGGTGATATCTCATTGTAGTTTTGATTTGCATTTCCCTAATTGCCAGTAAGGTTGAACATCTTTTCATGTATCTATTGGCTGTTTGTATGTCTTCTCAGGAGTAGTGTATTTTCAAGTCCTCCACCCACTTTTTAATTGGATTGTTTGTTTGGTGTTGAGTTTTATGAGTTCTTTATATATTTTGGAAATTAAAGCTTTGTCAGAGTTACTGTTTGCAAATATCATCTTCCATCTGGTTGGCTGCCTGTTCATTTTGTTGTCCGTTTCTTTTGCTGTGGAGAAACTCTGATATAGTTCCATTTATTTATTTTTGCCTTTACCTCCCTGGCCTTTGGGTCAAGTCCATAAAATGTTCTCTACAACCCAGATACATAAGTTTGGTACCTATATTTTCTTCTATGTACAAGTAATTTATAGTTTTGGGTCTTATATTTAGGTCTTTGATCCATTTTGAATTAATTTTTGTACTGAGGACAAACTATAAACAGTTTCATTCGTTTGCATGTGGCTTTCCAGTTTTCCAGCGCCACTTATTGAAGACACTATCTTTACTCCAATGTGCATTTCTGGCTCCTTTGTTAAAAATTATCTGTCCATATACGTGTGGTTTTATAGCTGGGCCCTCTATTCTGTTCCATTGATCTGTGTGTCTGTTTCTCTGCCAATACCATGCTGTTTTGATTATCATAGCTCTGTTGCATAATTTCAGTCAGGTAGCATGATTAAGCTCTGGTTTTTGTCTCCCTTTTGGCTCTGGCTCCTGGGTTCCAGCTAGTGCCTGAGCTATTTGGGCTGAGCCTCTGCTCCTTCAGTCCGCAGCCCATCCCTCATTGCTAGGAGACCACCAAGGAATTCACTCGCTTTCCTGAAGACTGATAGTGGAGTGAGCCCCATACAAGGGCAAGTCCAGTCCATGACCACCAAGCCCTCAGGCCCAATGAGAGAGTATTTAACTTCTAATTAATTATTTCTAATTAATTTTTATTTTATTTCCTTTCTTCTATTTTAGTTTTAAATTGCTCTTTCTTGTAATCTTCTATTTCTAATTTTCTAAAAAATATATTTCTCATTAATCACTGCTTTTTCTGCATCACCAAACTTTTATAAAATGTATGTTCATTTTAATTTAGTTCAAACAATTTAAAAATTCTCTTGAGATTTTTCTTTTACTCATGCTACTTAGAAGTATATTTTTCAATCTCTAAGTATTTAAGGAATTTCAGTTATAGCTCTCTGTTATTCATTTCTAGTTTAATTCCCTTGTTGTCTGAGGACATACTCTTCATGATTTCTATTCTTTTACACATGTTAAGATGTATTTTATGACCCATAAATTGGTCTTATATGGTGAAGGTGAGTTTCCCTGTCATATTAAGTCTGTGTACTCAGCATTGTTGGATGAAGTACTCTATAAATGTCAAATAGATCAGGTTGGTTGATAGCGATGTTCATATCAACTCTATTTTTATTGATTCTTGCCTGCTGGAAGTATAAATTACTAAAAGAGGGTGTTGAAGTATCAAATTTTAACAGTGCATTTGTTTGTTTCTACTTGTAATTCTATCAGTTTTTACTGTATATAATTTGATGTCAAGTGTTCAGGTAAATGCATGTTAAGGATTAAGTCTTCTTGGAAAACAGAACCCCTGCTTCATATGAAACACCCTCTTTCTCCTTCATAATTTTTCTGTTCTGAATCATCTTTGTTTGGAAGTAATATGGCTACTGCATCAATCTCTTGATTAGTGTTAGCATGATATCTCTCCATTATTAATATGAGGCTTTCTATTTAAAGGTTTATTATGTTGACAAGATATAATTTTTAAATATTTTCCATCACTTTGATAATCACTGGGTTTTAATTGGAATATTAAGACCATTCATATTGAATGTAAGTATTAATATGCTGAATTAATATCTATCATGTTTGCAACTCTTCTCTATTCATTGTATTTGTTCTTTGATTCTCCCTCACCCCTCTTTTTCTGCCATCTCTGGTTTTAATTTAAAATACTGCATGATTTCATCTTATCTCTTCTATTAACATATCATGTTTGCTTCTTTTTAAATGTATTTAGTGTTTGCATGGATATTGCAATGCACATTTTAACCCACTTCCCTGCAGCGTAGGTACCTTCTAGCAAAGTATTCCTGATTCCTTCCTCCCTTCCTGCATCTTGATGACCATTTTGTCATGGTGTCCTTTTTCCCTAGGATGTCTGTAGAAAACAAGCATATCTATGACATTGCTCTCTGCCACTTCAAAACACAGAAAGTCAAAATTTCAAATATAATAAAAGTATCATTTCCTTTCCTTGAACTTCTCCGTGACTATGGATTCATCAGCAATGAAATATATGAAGTAAGTAAGGTTTATTATGTCACAATCTAGTAAACCAGTGCCAAACTAAGTTATATTTTGATATCCTGGAATCAAACACCAGAGCATAACTAGATAACTGAGTGGGGACCCTCTCAAGTACTGCTGTAAGTGTTCTTATAAGATCAGAAGGGAGAAGAGAAGCAGGCATTACTGAAGACAGTTCTGCTCCTAACAGAAGGAACAGTGCTCCGTGGTGCCCCCTATAGTGGGGTGAATAGCACTAGAGATAGGCTGGGTGTGAAGTGGGTGAGCTACATAGATTTATAATGCCTTGTAGGAATTATATACACAATGTAGCATAAACTAGTATTAAATGTAATTGTAATGAATGGATAAATAAGTTGAATTATTTCATTTAATTAAATAATAATAATAATAATAATTGTTCAATTAACACCAATTGAAATATTTATATCTGAAAACATTAAAATCCACAGAGACTTAATGTCTTCTTAGGAAAATTTTGAAAATAGATGCTTGCTATTCTTTCAACAACAGTTTTTAGTTCACAGGTACTTCTAGGCCAAGTCAGTCCTGGGGAAGGAACAAGGGGTGTACAGTCAACAGAACAGCAACTCATCACCTGCTAAAACATTTGGCCAGGCTCTAAAAGGGCTACACATCACTTAACTTTAACCCAATTTGTTCTTCATAATTGCACCTTACTCCATCTAATAGATATTAGAACAAAGAAATTAGATATGAATGGGAATTTTCAAGGAGGATGAATTTAGTTGTTTACCTAGTAGCCATACAAATATAGAGAAATTCTAAAACTGTACATGAGACCATAACTATGTTGGGAAGTTGTAATACATTAACACTAAAATCACTTTCTAGGGCTCTTCTGTAACTTGGAAATCTGTATTTATATTTTCCAATTCATTATTTTTAAGAAGTCTAAGGAATCTTTTAAAACACCGGGTTCGGAACAGGAAGTCATAATTGATGTTCTCAATGAAGTGGAGAAGACATTTAACCTGTCCCTTCTGGAAGCATTGTTCAGCGAGGACATCATGGACACCTACCCTGGTTTAAATGATATTTATAAAACCTTCAAAAAAGGTAATTAGGGCCCTGGCCAGTTTTGCTCAGTAGAGAGTTGACCTATGGACTGAAGTATCAAAGGTTCAATTCCTGGTCAAGGGCACATACATGAATTGCAGGTTCAATCCTAGGTCCCAGTCAACAGGCATGGGGGAAGCAACCAGTGATGTCTCTCCTCCTCCTCCTCCTCCTCCTCCTCCTCCCTCCTTCCCACTTTCTCTCTAAAGAAGGTAATTAGGTTTATTACCTATTTTTTTATGTCCAGGACCAATTTTTCCCCAGAGGTATATATTGGATGTCTACCATGTGCCACAGAAAGTGCTGGGCAGTGGGGAGGTAGCAGTAAAGAAAACAGAAATATTGTAGCCACTCAAAGCTTATGATAAAATGACTACAGTACAAACACTCACCTGTAGGTCTGCTTAACTAGGTATCTTGGCTCAGGACAACCAGAGCCACAGTGGATTCAGATTTACTTAGATGGACAAATGACAGGAACTACAACATCTCAAAAGTGCGGCATCAGTTGCTCTTCTTCTTTGTGACACTTAGTAGGGGTCCTCACAGCAGTTCACCAAAAGTTGACTACAACCTACCTGAAGTGACAGCATAGCTATAGGTGCATGATCCGCCCTGATTTAGCCACACCATGCACAGGGGAGTCATTATGTCATCTACAACTTTGTAATTATAACTTTCAGAGATCCCACAAAGATACAAGAGTCACCAGGTTGAAGGAAGACAAAAAAATGGCTTATAATTCATATCTAGTCCCCCCCCCCAGGCCACATGCAATTTACCTACCTTCAGTCACTGGTCATTTGTAACTCTAAGCTCAATGTTGGCCTACTAATTCAGAAGAAAGTCCACCTTTATCAGATTTCCAGAGTAATGAACAAGAAAATTAACTCAAGGTCAAATTTGTTCTTGAAGAAAGAGAAATGGTTTTATTAACTCATTCTCCAAAACACGTGTGATCAACAATCAATCACAAAACCGATTGCTCTGCCAGAATGTTTTGATACTATACAAAACTATTAGTTTGACTCTCTACTTTTTCCCTGAGAAGGAATAATTTTATACTTTTTCATTGGTTCTCAGAAAAGATGATATCCTCCAATAATTTTTGTTTGACTTGCCTAGAAAACTTTTTTATTCTACATGCTTTTGGTCTCAAAAAGATCTCCAGGTAATGATGGAGAATTCAAAAGAAAAATTACTATAATAACTGAGGAATGCAGATGATATGGCAGCATTAAAGGGTCTATGTGTCTGCAGAACAAGGACAAATTAGATTAATTTCAGAGTGAGAAGCAGACTTGCAAGTTGATTCAAAAGAGATAAGAATAAAAAAAGAGTTTGGAAAGTCTGGCTTCCAAAACTAAGGAATTTGATGTTATTTGTTACACAGACAGACAGTACAGGTTTATTGCACCAGGAGGTATCCTGCCATCAGCCCTTAGGCGTATGGGCTTACTGCTTCCCTCAGTTTCCTCCCTGGAATCTGCAGAATATACACCAAGAATTTTTGGTGTATTACCTTCCTCCATATGTTTGCTGGGTTGCCTACATACAGAGTCTCTGGGCTGGTGCTGTGTTCTTCCCTCTTTGGCAATTCTCCAAACGTAACAGGCATCTTGGTACTTTCTTCAGGGTCACAATATTCACTCCCTGCTTGCAGCTTCAAGCAATATTCCTCTTTGACCTGGAATCTGGGTGCCCCAGGGACCTCTGTCTAGTTGTTCCCATGTCCTCTAATTTGTCTCTTTGGGAAGCACTCATCCTCCCTTACTCAGTTAAGCCAAAAACTTCTCTTGTCCAGCCTCATTTCTAAAGCTTTTTTTATACACATAAAGCTCTATAGCAGTGATGGCGAACCTTTTGAGCTCGGCGTGTCAGCATTTTGAAAAACCCTAACTTAACTCTGGTGCTGTGTCACATATAGAAATTTTTTTGATATTTGCAACCATAGTAAAACAAAGACTTATATTTTTGATATTTATTTTATATATTTAAATGCCATTTAACAAAGATAAATCAACCAAAAAAAATGAGTTCGCATGTCACCTCTGACACGCGTGTCATAGGTTTGCCATCACTGCTCTATAGGATCTTTGTTTTCCTCCCAAGGAAATCCCTCTGGTTTTCCTTACAGTTTGAACAGTTCAGCAAACACATTTCAAAATAAATAGTATATAATTTATTTTGATATATTTGTTCCTGGTAAGCTGAATATTTTTTACAAAATAACAAGCTCACTATGTTGCCAAACCTTCCTTTTCCTAACATTTCAGTGGCAACTTTCTGTGTGAGAAGCATAAGGGCCCCTTTGTTGGGTAGTCTCTTTTCTGTCCCAGGGATGAAGAGTCAACTTTACCAACAGGATTAGGACCCACTGAGTACTGAGTGACACAAGGGGTGGAAATTCCTAAATGTGTAATTTGAAATGACAACACTACTCCAAAGTGATCTCTAATTGTCTTCTTCTTATGCCCTCTCTTCAGTGATACCAAACATAGAACTGTTCCTAAAAAGTGATGGAGAAGAAAATGAGGAGAGGCCTGATATCCAACAGATCCTTGAACAAGGTGATTGCAAACAGATAGAAACTGATTCTCCTCTGTTAAGAGGAAAGGAGAAAGGAAGGTGGGCCTGAGTCCTGAGTGGAGTTTGTGAATCAGGGAAGACCTGTTGAGGAGCATGGAGAAGTTCAGGAAGGGCTTTTTCTAGGAGCATCTGACCAGAGTCTGATCCTGGGGGATGAGCTATGACAAGAGATCATAGGCCCAATAATCAAGACAGAGGAACAGGAACCCAGTGTATCAGGAAACCAGATTTAAAGACAATACTAACCTGAAAGTAACTCTTATTTACAGAGAGGCCTATAGGAGAAGATCAGTGTGAAGCTGTGAAGGGCTAAGAACTATGGGCCCAAGGTTAACCTCACCAGAAGATATCCTGGATGATGACAATGTGGTTGATTTAAATGTGGGAGATGCTGTTCAAGAGCAGGAATATTCAAGGAGATGGGCAGTCATATAGGGAGGGAAGAGAGGAAGTGGTAAGATGTGTAGGAGGACATGTGGGTATTTTGAGAGAGGAAGAAAGAAAGAAAATGAAAGACAGGAGAAAGGGGTAAAGTACACAACGATGACAACCATATTACTAACAGCTTACTTATAAACCATTTACTCTGGCAGTTGAGGGCTTAGTATTCACAGCTGCCCTTAGGGGGAAGTATCATTTTCTGTCCATTTACAAAAAGGAGACTGAAATCTTGAGGGACCATGTATGTAGTTGGCCTGGAGTCAAATGAGGATGAACTCAGGCTTTCTGGACCCAAAGCCTGTGTTCTTAACCCTGCACGTACCCAGATAATCTCATAGAAAAGACAGAAAATTGAGTCAAAAGTAGTGAAATATGTGCAGAGAGAAAGATACAAAAAAAAAAAAGAATACCAGGAGCTGGAGAAACTACAGGAGAATCAGATACTGAACCTCATAAAATGTCCAAGAAGACAGAGAAACAGACATTCAGAGAGAGGATGTGGTGTGAAGGGGTTGGGGACAAGGAGACATGACTTTGTAGGAGGTAAGGGAAGCCCACCAATAAAAGGAAGTTTTAAGGACAAAAAAAAGTTACCCATAGCTATGGGTGACAAGAAAAGCTATTTGCTCGTTAATTATCTCAGTGAGTTGGCAAGACTGAGGTCAGGTGGCAGCTGATGGCAAGTGTCGGGTAGATGCTCAGGTCCAGATGGGCTCTGTGTTGATACCTTGGGGGAGGGGATCTTCAAGTTCTACTTTATAATAATTAATTGGTGATTAAGGGAGAATGTCACAGCCCATACTTTAATTTCTGAAATAAACTTCTAATTTTTTCCAAGAACTGGTGACAGCTCATATCAAAGTCTGGCAGTGGCAGAACCCAGTGAATCAAATAACAGTGGTCTGTTCCTGTTGACTGTTCTGTGATCCCTTGCTGTTCTTGTCCCATATGGCAGGTGCTGTGGTGGGAGTGCTGCTTCATTTTAGTACTAATTGCCCAGAACAGTCAGTCTTTACATCCTCAATTTCTCCAAAGATTTAGATAAGAGTCTTCATTTTTCTGGTTGCCTGGGAGAGACTCTCCTTCCATACTCCTTAAGTGCACTTGCTGCCAGCTCCTACCAGCCTGGGCCTGGACCTATTGTCCATGTACCTGGCTTCAATTTTCTGTCTCTGTCTTGCTTGAATCTGGCTGCAACCTTGCTTTGACATCACGTCCAATGCTGGCCAGCACTGCAGCAAGGGTGGTGGGGTAAGGGTCATGAGTGTGTTCCCTGTGGGCCAGGATCTCTCACCTGTTGGGTCCCTCACATAGGACCATCAACAAACCTCTCCCATCTTCTCTGGGGCATAGGCTTGCAGCTGCTCTAAAAACACTATGGAAGGCATTATTGTGTAGCTTCCACTGGGATGTGTTATTTAATAAAAGATGTTCTAGCCCTAGCCAGTTTGGCTCAGTGGATAAAGTGTCAGCCTGCAGACCAAAGGGTCCAGGATTTGATTCCGGTCAAAGGCGCGTACCTTGGTTGCAGGCTCCTCCCTGGCCTGGGCCCTGGTCAGGGCTCATGAAGGAGGCAACCAATTGATCTCTTTCTCTCACATCAGTATTTCTCTCTGTCTTACCCTCTCTCTCCCACTCTCCCTAAAAATCAATGGAAAAATATCCTTGGGTGAGGATTAACAAAAACAGAAAGAAAAAAAAAGAAATGATGTTCTAAATGAGTAATATATTTTTATAAAAGAAAAAAAATCTTTCACAATGATTTTGAAAGCACCTTTATATGTTTAGCAAATCACATTTAGTAAAAAAAAATTTAACATTTAAGAATATGAAACATATAACAAGCATCAGTCCCTATTCTTAGCCATTCATCTATAAGTGCAGCTGGTGTGATCAGGAATGTTGAGAGGAAGGAATCCTGATGAGCAATTTACAGAGATGGGATTCAGAGTGTGTGTGTGTGTGTGTGTGTGTGTGAAGGGTATAGTGTGTGGGGAGAGGGGGTAATGACATTATAACCCAAATTATGCAATAAACTAACAATAAATGTATCTAAGAGTCTGACCCAGCAGGGATGGTTGACTGTGACATGAACCAGTGAGGGAAGGGCTGTGTCACATTCACCACCCAAGAGGAGACTCCAAGGAACAATGGATGTGGCACAAAACATGCAGCCTTGATTCTATATTAAAATTTTTGGAATTAATTTTTAAATCCTCTTTACATAAGTTACTTTGCATAGAAAAATAGTAATAAATGAAAAAAATCTGAACTGCACTGAAAAAGTATTTATTCACACACTATTGAGGTTGGTGGAAACAGAGTGGATGGGTCGATGGAATCAATAATGAGCAGAGGAGGTTCACCATAGGGAAGGGGGGTGCACTGGCCCTGGGTGGTTTACTCAAGGACTCATTTCCTATCATTCCTGTTCTGCTCTGCCCTCTATCCCTGGCCACAGATCCCTGCAGCATTGCTTGCCAGCTCCCTTGCTACTGCTTCCTGGTAGATTCCTAACCTGGGAAACACCAGCAAAGAGTGGAGAGTGGGAGCAAGGGAGAAGCATGGTATTTCCCCATGAGCAGAACTTTGAAAATGATGGGAATGCTTAAGATGGAGAAAAGATAAAGAAAAAATTGATTAGAAGAGACATTCACAGGTCACAGAAATTGTAAAGAAACAGAATAGAATAGGACAAAGTAGGAAACATAACAGATAATCAATAAACTGGAAAATCAGATGGGATACTAAGGGCCACGACCAGAGGGAGATAGGGAGACCCTGGGACCCATGTAAAGAGGAGCTCACTCCCATGCCCTACACACCTACAGTGCTTCACCCTAGACCCTGCTGGGCCTGGGTGGGCAATGATAAAATAATGTAGAAAATAAGTATAAAGAGAGAAAAATACAGAGGGAAATGAATAGAAAATAAATAGAAAATATGGGGGAGACACAAAGAGAACTATGTCAAGAATGAGTAAGAGACAATGAATGAAGAACTGGTAGAGAGTGGAGTAGGTAGAGAGGACTAGGCATTGTCTGGTTTGAGGAGACACCACAAAGAAGGCAAAAGGGGTGTTCTTAACCCCATTGAGAAGGAAAGATGTCCACAAAATATAAATGGCCCTGAAATTCACTCAGATAAAAATAGGCCTCTCCTATGAGAAATAGAAACAAAAACAAAAACCCACAGTTAAGAGAGGCCCCCAAAAAGAGAGTTGAGCAGCAGGAAAGGACAGGGGTGGAAGAGCTTTCCTCTGCAGTGGACTTACAGAGAAAAGAGCTTGTAGGTTGTAGTGAGGATGCTCATTCTATTATGAGAGACAAGTGGATTCTTCATTTATTACAAAATTGGAGCTACCCCACCATGGAAACCAAATTCATTTCTGCTCTGAACACCTGATGTATATAAAGAATGAAAAACCATTTTTTAATTCATGAGTTGAATGGAAAGCCCAAGAAAGAAGTGACTGTGACCAGACTTCTGACAGTATAGGTAAGACTGACTGAAAGAATGTGTGAAGTGAATCCCGGTCCCAGGCAAGGGTCTGGGACGAGTCATCAGGACCAAGGGATACAGTTCTGGTGGCCTTGTTTAGAGGTAAAAAGGGAGATAACCAGGTGCCTTAAGTAGTGTACTCAGCAGAAAAATGTCCCCAGTAATTGAAAAAAATAAACAAAAGCAAAAATGGTTGGTTTAATGTCAGAGAGACTATTTCTATGCAAGAGAAGAAAGTGATGGTTATAGAAGAAAAGAAAGAAAAATAAAGAGTCAAGATATTCATTAGAAGAGAGAAAAATAATGCAGAACAGGAGAGATATAAAGACATACCATCACCAGACATAACTAGTGAAAATTATTTCACCCAATAGAAAAGTGAAGAAGTAAAATGAGAATGAAAGAAGAGGTAGAATGAGGGTGGGGATCAGAAATAGACTGAGGATGGAGAGAGGGAATAGAGTGAGGGTGGGGGTAAAAAATGTGCTGCAGGAGGGGGAAAGCTGCCCTCTGCAAATGAACTTCTCCACCTTCTGGGTAGGATCGAGGGACCTGCAGGTCACACACATTCGGGCACAGACCAGGGGGACCTGAGTTAACTTAGCTTCTAGATCTCCCTAGTGCTGTCATGAAGGGGTTTCCTGTCAGTGGGCTCCCTGGTGCCCACCTTGAGACACTAACGGGTTTTTCTCCTCTATGCAGAGGTCGACAGTGAGGACTCCAGAGAATCCAGTGATGGAGATGAGCCCCCCGAAGCTTTGTAGATGAAAGGGGCCACATGCTAACCTGACAAGCTCAGGGAAGGCCTGCATGGCAGTCTTGCAAACTCAGAGACCTAAAGGAACCACAAAGGATGGTCTGAAATTAAACTTTAACTAAAAGCAGTTATGGTGGGTAGTTACATCCTAGGCCGGTATCTTCACTGACAAGGTCTGTGAGCCTTAACTGAACCTGTCTTTTTGCATCTATAATAACATACCCTTTTAAATGTCTGGGTAACTTGTAACTTCTCTTGGGGCACAACCTAATGTGCTGGGCATCAGGACAGATACCACAAATTCCTTCATTATCATGTTAATTGTTCCTGCCTAAGTATGTGTCCATCATTTTACTTTTTATCCAATCCCAGGGGTTTCCCCCATTTTGCTTCCCACCTCTCCTCTAGTCTATCACCAATGGATTTCATGTAACCCACCTAC